GAGATGTGTTCACCCTATTTCGTTCAAGGTAATGAAGAACTGACAGTTTAATTTTCCCACAATCATATGAGTAGACCGTACGTTTCCATTGAATTTTACATTACCCCGCTTCATAATGGATGAAAATTCTTTTTTTGGAAACAAGGCCATGTGAACTTCGGTGTAAACGTAAGGTCATATCGTATGTTGTGGGAAATTCAATTACTAATCCTTCCTCAAGTTAAACGAAATAGAGTGAAAACAATTCTTAGACAAGATCTACTGGTAGTATCGAAAGCCTGCTCTCAAACAAAAACATATTTCACTTAGCCCTTCTTCCCAAAGTTATATCCTCACCCAGGCTGGTCTGGACTGCCGTTTCGACCTACTCTGCGTCCTAGCAGCACTCCCAACTAGAATCTAGATCCGGTAGTTTAGTGTATAATTTTGACAGCTTACCGCTACGCCACACTATCACGAATGTCAGTCGCTGAAGCAATGATGCATTTTTCATTGCATCTATTTGAAATAAGTAGGCTTAATAGACTTTCACTTTATATTGAGTATGAGAAATAAACTGACACTCTCAATAGCCGACTTTATTCTAATTTATGCAGTTTAGTTTTGGGCTTATGGTGAGGCTAGGAGGCTGAGCCTGAACCCCGCAACTGACCACCAAAAGACAACACGGGATTCGCGCGGCAAGAGGTCTCATCTGAGTGGGGAATGTATTGGCAGGCAGACCAATGCCCATTTTTATTTAGAACTTTGTCACTAAGTTGTAATATTCTCAAGCAGATTGATTGCATCTGGGTCGCTAAATGGGGCCTAGAGATAGCAATCACACATCTTTTGTGCATAAAAATTTAGCTTTGGCTTGTTCACCTCAATGATTATAACCCTTGGTACCTATTCCATTTTGACAGGGGGTATACGAGGTGGAGGCATGGCACTGCATCCTGTAATTATGTCAGGACATGCAGCAGCAGACGGTAAAGTCAGAATATTCTTCATTTGGGGTAATCTTCCGAGAGTCTTAGAAGCATATCTTATTAATGACTCTGAGGTATCCGTCTCCTCTCCCTCACCCTCTCTTTTTCCCTCTCCCTTTCCATCTTAGTCTCCGCCTCTGCATCCGTCTCCGTCTCCCTCTCTCCCTTTCATCCAAAGTTCTCAATTATTTCACATTATTTTGCTCCTGCTTGGTTGCTCCATCAGGCTAACATGTCTCTTCTGCTCAGCATTTTCATGAGGCCTCGCTATCCGTGGATCTCGAATAGTTACTGTCGTATTTTTCGTATGTTAGTAGAGTTTCGAGACTACCAGTAATTCAGTTATATGAGCTGTATTCATCCTATTGCGTTTAAGGTGGTGAAGGACTGGTAGTAGAATTTTCCCACAATCATATGAGTTTAGCTAAAGTTTTCATTAAACTTAACATGTAGTCGATTTTCATAGCAAAAATACGTTTGCTACATCGACAATCCCACCAAAGAATGTGACATGGGAAAAGGCTTGGCCTTACTTTAAATTCACATCCTCCCTGTGACCCAAGGGCACTGTGGCAATGTGGTCGAGTGGTTAACGTGTCAAGCTCCCATGCTGCGTTGTCACGGTTCGACTCCCACTGAGGGTGTTGATAAGACCGATGCGAGGTTAAAACTGCAGTCCACCCTATGAGGCTGTGAAAAATTCTACCACCATTCCTTCACACTCTATTAAGTATTGGGCTGCTCGCTTCATCGTGGGAGGATCATTCAACTATCCGCTCTTCGTCACCTGAAGCCGCATCGCGTGACTACAATTCGTACACATCCTACACGTCGATGTGAAGTTTCCTTATATTCCTGAAAGATGCGATTCGGACCACTTCAGTCTCCTCAGAACATCCTTTATTCTCGTTGGCCAGTATGGCCATTCCAAATTTGTAAAGCCAAAAACCTCTTCTGGCGAGGAGGGATCGGACGACCGCCTTAGATACAGGGAGAAGCTGGGTCTCGATGATTCCCTTAACAGATTTGAGTTGGCATGCCTTTTGTGTTGATGCAAAGAGTGAGAGGGTGTGATGCATAACTTGGCCCAACCGGAATCCTAAGGAGGATTGCCTTAGAGCAGCGTTACTGTTTTTGGTCACTAATGCTGTCTGTTATGGCGGAGCAAACGTAAGCTGAGCAGTGCTTCGTCAGATTCACAGGACACTGGGTAGATGTCTTCTTTGCGCTGTCCATTCGTCACAACTCCTTCGCCTTCCGGAAGGGCCAATTTACAAATTCACTCTTCCTCTTTTTTCAAATCGGAGCGCAAAGTACGCGAAACTCCGTGTTGCTCTTTATACCATGTTCTGAGGTTGCACACCTCAGAACTTCACCGAAAATCTTTGAAAGCTATCGCTACGACAACCTCAGGACCGTGTCGATTTGCCAGTTTTCCCGGTCTGTTTGACTCCCCTTGGCTCGCTGGTCCCTCTATTGGTACAGAAATACTATTGTCTATTAATCATAGTAGTTAATTTGCTTGTTCTAGATATCCTTTATTCTCTCATTTCTCTAGCTCGATGTTTCGCACCCGCTAGTCGCAGACGTTTTATTATTATCAATTTCATTGTCTTCTGTTTTGGGTAAAACCTCATATATGTTAGCTTCTAACAATATATCCTATGGGAAGAGGATTGCGGAATAATATGGTGTATTCTGATCAACATTCCAAGCACAAGGGTAAAGGGTGATTAGGGGTTGAGAAAGAGAGCGTGTGGTGTAGAGAGTTCTGATGAAATCCGCTCAAAAGGGCACATTATACCACATTCAAATAAATAATTAAGCAATTGTGATAGTGAAGGAGTGATACGAGGATATAGGAATGGTGAATAGCCAAGAGCAGAAGGAGAGATGCCACAATTTTTAGCAGACAATTGGTTAAAGGATCGGCTTCATTTGTCTCTTTGTTGAGGTTGGTAGCACTCACTGACGAAAACGACCACGACGCCGGCTAATCGTCTCAGATTGTACCAAGTTCACGGTCCGAATCTGGAAATTTTCGTGCATAGTATGGACACTGGAGAAGTGGTGTTACCCTAAGTCTTCCTACCAATATATTCAAGTTGCGAAAACCAGGTCGAACAATTTCTATACATTACCTTTTTTTGTTATTATGTAAGCTTTCAAGACTACCAGTAAATCTAAAATAAGAAAACCAACTTAAAAAACAAAATGATTAATCTACTCGATTGCTATATCAAAATTCTACGTTGCTTTATGGAAAATCGCACCAAAGAAAGTGATATAAGAAAGGCCTAGCCCTACATGAAATTCGCTTCTACCCTGTGACCCGAGGGCACTCGTTGCGGTATGACGTAGTGGTTATTTTTCCGAGGCTATACCCTGAACTATCACGACCCGAGTTCGAGTTCCGCGAACCTGTGAGGAAGTGGGCCACATAAGAAGTTTATAGGGAAACCATGACACCCTCTTTTTCTATGCCTATTTTTAAAGTCAAAGTTCAGCCATTATTCAGGTCAGGTTGATTTAAAAAAGCGAGCTTAAACAGTTCA